GGGGCACACAAACCCAAGCGGCATCTCCGCAGCCAGTAAGGCAGTGGGAATGAGGGATGCTGGGGTGAAGTGAACTGGAGCGAGCCGCAGAAAGCCGAGGGACCAGCGAGGAACGGAGAGAGCCGATGCAGCGGAGGAGTGCATGGAGCGTACCAGGAGCGGCTGTCTCGGATCAGATGTTCCTCTACGGCAAACATGCTGAGGTCGAGCTCGGTGTTTCTGCCTTCAGCCTGTGGATCACCGCTCCCACCGCGGAAAAGCCAGGGAGGAAGCTCGCCCAGGGTGAAGCCTCGCAGGAATTCTAACAAAGGAGGCAGGCAGCTCTAATCCCGTCTCGCATCACCCCCACCCTTCTCCTCCTCCCCCTCCGCTGAGACTGCAAGGGCACGTGGGGCGGGTTAGGAGGAAGGGGGCTTGCCAGGTTCATGGGAGCCGCCTGCGAACACCCAGCAGAAGCCACCAGCCTTCCCAGCAAACCTCAAGCACGAGTTGTGCTGACCGCTTGCCTAGGCGGGTTTTTTCATTCAGTGATTACACACATATGGGCCTCCTCGGCTGCTGAGCTTGGAGTGGCATCTGCGGGAGGGGGGTATGGCCAAGTTAAAACTTGCTGGTTTAAAAAATATATAGGTATATATGTGCTTAGAACAGCTTAATACTGAGCAGATCTCCGAGATGCTTGAGCGCACCCGTCGAAAGGCCGAGCAAGTCAGCGAGCAGCTCTGTAGCGCAGCCAGACCTCTGCTGTGGCGGGGCCGGGCACCGCCGCCCTCCGCCGTCTTGGAATTAAGCAGGACTGGAGATGTAACACGCCGAGTCGGGAAGCGTCGGGCAGCTCGTCTGCCTCATCTGCTTGGCGGGGCTTGCCCCATGGCTCCTCCTTTCTGTTCGTCGCAGCATGGTGGTATCGAGGTGGCCCATTGCTCTTTCAGATATCGTGTGAAGGTACAAAAAAACCACATTTCACCAAAGCGTTGTTTTCAGAAATCGCATCATTCCCTGGTTTGCTTTGTGTGTAATAGTCCATCTGTTGCAAAAAGCAGTAGTGTTAAAAACGGAGATGCTCTTTGGGCCGAAAAAGAGGAAAAAAAAATGCTGATGTTTTGTTCTTTGGCTTCATTAGTAAAGATCAAGCTATGTGGTGGTAATTTGTGTGATTTTTTGGGGTTGTTTTTTCTTGTTGTACTCCATCCTTCACTCCAGCACTGTGGTCATACCTGAACGGCCTCCCTATCTCGCGCAGTCCTGCAGGATGAGACACATTGAAACACATGCCAGAGTGGGGGCAGCTGACTTTTTTTTTTAGCCTTCACCTCTTACTAGCCTTGAAGACCTCTTTCCTGCTGCTTTTCCCAGGTGACTTTGAGCATACATGGCGTTGCTTTCCCCTCTGGTCACACAGGCCCTGAGCACCTGGCAGCTAAAGCCTGACTCACAACTAGCTGGTCCTTAAGAACACACGTATGAAATCTAACATGTCTTTTCCAGCTGCTTTGATGGTTTTCTCCAGGTAGGCTTTAAAGGAAGGAAATTTCAAGTATGCTGCAAGCAAGGGGCAGTAATTCTGCTCCGCGAAGCCCCGCGTGCCACTCGCTGTGCTCTTTGCCCCTGAGAGCAGCTGCTGCTTTTTTGAATGAGTAGCCTTATTTGTGGTCTGTAGGTAGGGACATGAAGATAATCTGTACAAAGTCAGCTGTAGCTAGATGATGCAGTAGTCCACTGTAAGGTCAAAATACTGGAGGAGAGCGAGGGAGGTGGGAGGAAGCATGCGTGCTGTGCGTCAGGCCCTGCCAGCCCCATCAGCGCGTTTTGGTGCAGCGGTCTTTTTCCTGGTGAAGTTCTTCACTTCTCCCCCCATTTGTTTTCACTGGTTTCACGTTGACTTGGGCACAGGAACTCAGTCTCTGCATGGCAGAGCAGCTGTGATCGGCATGTAGCGACCTGTCACAAAATCACAGACTGGTTGGGGTTAGAAGGGACCTCTGTGGGTCACCCAGTCCAACCCTCCTGCCGAAGCAGGGTCACTCAGAGCAGGCTGCACAGGACCTTGTCCAGGCGGGGGTTGTAAGACTCCACAGCCTCCCTGGGCAGCCTGTGCCAGGTCTCCGTCACCCTCAGAGGGAAGAAGTTCTTCCTCGTGTTCAGCTGGAACTTCCTCTGCTTCAGTTTGTGCCCATTGCCCCTTGTCCTGTCACTGGGCACCACTGAAAAGAGTCTGGCCTCGTCCTCCTGACACCCACCCTGCAGATATTTATAGGCATTTCTAAGGTCCCCTCTCAGCCTTCTCTTCTCCAGGCTGAACAAGCCCAGCTCACTCAGCCTCTCCTCGTAGGAGAGATGCTCCAGTCCCCTCATCATCCTTGCAGCCCTCCGCTGGACTCTCTCCAGTAGCTCCTCATCTTTCTTGATAACTAGAGAGGGTGATAAGTAGAGAGGGAGAGACACCAAACAGACACATACACCTCTGCTTGTGCCTTCTCTTACTACGTAAAGCCCGAATACCGCACGGGTGCAGCTAAGGAGTTGCCTCCGTCTACAGGGGTGGGGTCAGAGGGCTGCGTGTCGCTGTTCCCTCCGCTTTCTCTGCTCTCCCTTTCACCTCGCAGCGCCTGGCTCATTTCTCTCACCCACTGAACGAGCAGTGACGCATTAGACCAGAAGGAAAAAAATCAAACCAAAAAAACCCAAAACATAAGGCTCTGCTACCTGACAAGGTGTTTCATCTTGGCTGACCTGTTTGCCAAAAAGTGGGTGCTTAGGTACACACAGATTAACTCATCTAGGTTTTGGGGTTTGTGTGGTTTTAAGCAGGGACGAAAGAGCACTGCCTCCTTTGTGTGCCACAGTCTGAAGAGCTGCTTGGAGAAACGGGGTCCCAGATGTTTGTTTTCACAGCAGTGTAAGCTGTCACAGGCCTCAGAGAAAAAGAAGAAAAAAAAAAAAGGGGGGGGGAAACCCTCACCCCCAAAACAAAAAAAAAATTGCCGCTGCATTGTCTTTTTCCCAGAGTGTTAATGAAATGTCTGAATTTTGTAGCAGCTGGCTGAGTTCTGTCATGGAGGGGAGGGGTAGTGTAGGGTTTGTGTGTGAGTGAACGTGTGTGAATTGTCTGGGAGCACGAAAGCGCCAACTGGAATTTTATCGGAGAGATGGGAGAGATGGTGAGGCTGTGCAGCCTGGAGAAGAGAAGGCTCCGGGGTGACCTTAGAGCAGCCTGCCAGTACCTGAAGGAGCTGACAGGAAGGATGGAGAGGGACTTTTCGCCAGGGTGTGTAGTGATAGGACAAGGGGGAATGGCTGTAAACTAAAAGAGGGCAGATTTAGATGAGATGTTAGGAAGAAATTCTTCCCCGTGAGGGTGGTGAGGCCCTGGCCCAGGCTGCCCAGAGAAGCTGTGGCTGCCCCCTCCCTGGCAGTGTTCAAGGCCAGGCTGGATGGAGCTCTGAGCAAACTGGTCTGGTGGAAGGTGTCCCTGCTCATGGCAGGGAGGTTGGAACCAGATGATCTTTAAGCTCCTTTCCAACCCAAACCATTCTGTGATTCTATGAAACAGGGGAGCAGCTGCGAGGCCGCCCCGAACAGAAATGGCAGGCTTGGTTCCCCTCTTTGTCAAGCCGGGTCCTATTTGCAAGCACCGCTGACGAGTCGGCCTGCTAATCCCTGGGAGGCCGGGCAGGCGCGGAGGGCAGAGGAGGTGGAGGCAGAGAAGGTGGAGGGGAAAAATGGAGAACAAAAATCCACAAGTAAGATTGTGCTGCTTCAGTGGGTTCAGCCCGGCAGCTGTGACCAGCTCCCCTGCCCAGGCTGAGGACCTGACCGCCCGTACTGGGGCTGCGCACTCGCTGCAAGGCTGAAGAAGCAGCAGCAAAACTTGATGACCCCTCAGAACTTAATTCAACCTATTAATATGGAGCCTTCCCCTAACAGCGTGTAAGCAGCAAGTACGCACCTTGGAGAGAAGGCACCTTATGGAAAGAAAATTTACTTTCCTGGGAAAAAAAAAAATCATCTCCGGGGCTGGAGATGATTTCTCCATGTCC